CTTTGCCTTGTGCAAGTTGGTGTAAGCAGCAAGCAAAGCTATCTGTAAATCAGATTATGATCTGGAACGAAAGAGTCGAATTTACGGCATTGAAATCTCATTTATAATTAGCTCAAAATTAATCTCGTTATACTCTTTGGCAATAAGAATGTGCGGTCCCATCCATTTTACACCTCTATCCGACTCATCTCCAGCCTTCATAAATTTTTGGTGCCATTCTGCATTTCCTATTGTCCCTTTGCTAAATATAAAATCATCTTCTTCTCTATCATTACCCAGAACCTATACTTTTACTCCCTTGGGCTCTACTTTTCTTCTTATCAGAGCCATACATACACTAGCTGCAGCAAGTTCTATCAACAGTCGGGAAGCACTAGCAAGCATATTTGGTGAGTTGGATTAAGAAATTGCCACAAATGTATGTCTCTAATAAGTTTGTTAGTTATCGCGTCAAGTCATACCTACCTAATCTCACGTATTAAATATGTTTTAGAAGTATAAACTTGAGTTGAAAGAGAGAGGTTCTTGTATGTTTTGTTAAGGGATATATATCCCACATCGATAAATGATATTGACACAGACCAATTAATAAAGATCTTGGGCTACTCCTCTTAAACTACTGGATTCGCCAGTAGTTTAAACTACTGGATTCGCCAAGATAAACTAATTCTTCATGCTATCCTTGCTTCAACCTCTACTGCAATTACCCCTCTTCTTGCATCCTGCAAAACATCCCATCAAGCTTGGACAACACTCACCCGTCTCTATGCGGGAAAATCTCGAACACGTGCAATGCAACTCAAAGAGGATCTCACATTGCAAACTCGTGGCCGTCGTTCAGTCACTGAATTTCTTCATGCAATTAAGATAATTGTAGATGAACTCGCAATAATCGATCATCCTATCTCGGATGACGATTTAACTCTTTACATCCTAAATGGGTTGGGTGCAGAGTTTCACGAGATAGCCGCTCCAATTCGTGCACGAGAAACCTCATTAAAATTTGAGGAACTTCATGACCTTCTTGTTGGTCATGAAAACTACATTCGGAGGATGGAAACCACCTCTGCGCACCACCTAATTGCAACTGCAAACTATTCACATCGGCATGGAGGAACGAGCAACACCGAAAACCAGCGCTCTTCATTTTCTTCACACAGAGGTCGTGACAACAAAAAGAAGTGGGCTTTCAATTCAGGGCCCCGAAATATAAGCCCAGATGCCAACTATGCGATCAAATGGGCCACACAGCAAAACGTTGCTCCAAACTTGGGTCCAGTGAAGTTACTGCCAACTGTGCAGCGTCCTCCAAAAACAGAGATAACAAATGGCTTATAGATTCAGCAGCATCACACAACATGACAACTGACCTTTCCAATCTTTCAATACACTCTGAATATGATGGAACTGATGAAGTGGTAATTAGAGATGGATCAGGTTTGCCTGTATCTCATGTTGGTTCATTATCTTTTAAATCATCTAATCGTATCTTCCATCTCAAAAATACATTATGTGTTCCAACAATAAAAAAAAATTTGATCTCTGTTCATAATTTCACCAAGCAAAATGATGTCTATTTTGAATTTCATCCATCTTATTTTTTGGTGAAGGATCGGACCACGGGGGCGACGCTCCTCAAAGGCGCATGTGAAGATGGTGTGTACCCTTTGCCGGAGAAGTTAGCTACGCCCTCCAAAAATGTCATTGCTTATGTTCATGAACGCACCACCAAAGATGGATGGCATAAAAGACTTGGTCATCCATCCTCTAAAGTTGTCAATCATTTAATTCGTGCTTTTTCATTACCTATTAATAAAAATGACAATAATGCTTTATGCAATGCGTGCTCTCAAAATAAAGCTCACTTTTCACCCTTTCATTCTCATGGTTTAACTAGCACAGCACCGCTTGAGTTAATTTATACTGATGTTTGGGGTCCCTCGCATAATATTGGTATCGATGGTTCAAAATATTACGTCATTTTTATTGACCATCATACTAAATATATTTGGCTCTATCCAATGTCTCACAAATCAAATGTTCAGATCATTTTTCCTCAATTTCGAAATCTTGTGGAAAATAGATTTAACACTCGAATCAAGAGTTTATACTCTGACAACGGTGGTGAATACATTGCTCTTAAATCATACCTTTCGGTTCATGGCATTGGTCACTACACAACCGCGCCTCACACTCCCCAACAAAATGGCATGTCTGAAAGAAGACATCGCCACCTTGTTGAAACTGGGCTCACACTTCTCTCAGATGCAAATCTACCACTCTCATTTTGGCCCCATGCCTTTCAAACAGCTGCATATCTAATAAATAGAATGCCAACCACAACATTGCAAAATCAAACACCATTTGAGAGGCTCTTCAACTAGACCCCCAACTATCTAAAACTCAAACAGTTTGGATGCCTTTGCTATCCCTTGACCCGGCCATATAACAAGCACAAACTTGAGCCCAAAGCTAAGCCTTGCATCTTTGTGGGATATTCACTCTCTCAAAATGCGTACTTATGCCTTGAGCCCAAAACTCATCGTATGTATCACTCAAGACACGTTTTATTTGATGAAAGGAAATTTCCTTTTACCGAACTGTGCCCTAATACCAGTGAGCCCGCCGAATCTAAATCCTCTTCTCCTCAAATCGATTCTCTCGTGCTGCTTCCTCTGTCACAGAACACACCTCAGTCAGTTCCAGAGGCTACTTCTCCCGGATTAGGTACTCATCATTCTCCAGCACCCTTGATGGCGACTTCTCCTCCACCGATTCATTACCAGGTACATGTTTCTCGACCATCTTCTTCGATTTCGAATGAAGTCTCTCTCCCAAATATACCCCCAAATTCTGATTCTGTTGTGACCCGATCCCATAATATGGTAACTCGTTCAATGAATAATATCTATAGACCAAAAAAATCATTTCTGGTCACAAAGCATCCGATTCAACCTTCACCAGAACCAAATACAGTGAGTGAAGCGCTGTCTGATCCTCGCTGGAGAGATGCTATGTTCTCAGAGCTAACAGCTCTCATGCGCCATGGTACATGGCAGTTAGAAACCCCTCCAAAAGGATGCAACATCATTGGTTGCAAATGGGTCTTTAGGATCAAAAGGTTGGCTGATGGATCAATTGACAGGTATAAAGCACGGTTAGTTGCAAAGGGTTTCAATCAAAGACCGGGTATAGACTACAAAGAAACTTTCAGTCCCGTAGTGAAACCTGTTACCATTCGCACTGTGTTGTCTCTTGCTGTAATGCAAGGCTGGTCACTGAGACAACTGGATGTGAATAACGCATTTTTGCATGGTGCTCAAACATGGTATCAGAGCGCATTATGCTCAAACGAGCGATTCGATCCCGTTAAGACTATAAGGTTGACCTTTTAAGATGGACCCCCAAATCTTAACATGGTATCAGAGCCCGTTATGCTCCAACGAGCGATTCGATCCCGGTAAGACTCCAAAAAGTGAGCACGTGGATTTCAAGATTGGTCTACTCAAATGAGCTATCATCTTACGGGGGCGTGTTAAGGGATATATATCCCACATCGATAAATGATATTGACACAAACCAATTAATAAAGATCTTGGGCTACTCCTCTTAACAAGGTTGACCTTTTAAGATGGACCCCCAATTCTTTGACATGTTTCCTCTTTCTTAATATCAGGTGGATACATATTCTTATCTGATGTCAATCAAGGTTTTTTTTTTTGTTCTAAGGAGTTGCATTTTGTTAAAGATTAAAAGTCAAAATTTGCATGACATATAAGTTCATTATTTTCACTAGAGATTAAATGTTGGTTTTTAAATCTTCACACTACAAAACAAAACCAGTGAGGTAGGTATAATTGAAAAAGCATAAAGTGATGAAATCAAATTGGCCTTTGGATTGGAGACATTAAAATGGTTTAAAAATAATCTTGGCCCTATTCTATTGGACAAGATCAAGTTGGCTGTTAAGACATTATGAGACTGGCTCATTGGTCAATAGTTGAGTTTAGATCGATGTATCAACCAAGAGGTCAGCTCCATAAGTTCTATCTGTGTAGACAATGGTCGAGACCATCCACGAGTTCTCGTCCGTGTTCTAAAAAATGGGGCATGGATGAAACGTTACAGCTTGACAGTAGGTGCGAAATTAAGTTGTTGTGTTTGGGACACATTCTTTTGAAAGAATGTATTATTGAATAGTAGATTGATGGAGAATGTGTGGTTAAACATGAAGGAAAAGTTATTGATATGATGAAAAATATTATTTTATTGAAGAATATGTGGTTGAAAATGAGTAGAAGAATGAGAATGAAAAAAATAATGTTTACCAAACATGGCCTTAATGGATGTCTATGCGTGCTTTATTAATTTTTTTTAAAAGCCTTTTATTTAACTTTAGTTTCAAATTTTTCCTTTAAAAATTGTATAATTAATTAATTATTATATATAATATTTTATGATTTTAGATGTTTAGTATGTATTATTTTAATTATTATTATTAAATAATTTTTGGAATAATTAAATTTTTTAAATAATATTAAAAATAAGCAAACACATTTTTATGTGTAGGCCTTGTCTAAACTTGTAAAATTTGAAACTTGACCTCTACACCTAAACACATTTTATATTTTTTAGAACATTTGTTTTCGTATTTTATTTATTTATTTATTATTTTTAAATAGAGTTTATGAAAATAATTCAAAAAATTAAACACAAACGGTTGACAAATTCCCTAGCACATCTATTTCCGTCGACTTCTGTCGAAAGTGCGTAACAGTAGGACCCACTGCAGAACAGGCGCCCATTAAAAAACGCTAGTCAACTTTGGACTTCCAATTCGAATAGCAACTTCCACAAGCCTTGTTGCTTTTTCAGGTCAAAATATCACACAACACAAATTGCCAAATTGATCTCACTTTTTTAGCATAGAATCATTTTTTGGCATCATTGTATTCAATCATTAACGCATGCTTTTTCCTGGTTTTTATTTCCAAGAATTCGGACCCTGAACTCAAAACCACCTGTTTCAAAGAATTTTTCAATCCCTGAATCATCTGCTATAGAAAAGTAAGTCCGTTTAATTAAGTTTTTATGAGCTTGATTCTTTTTTGCTTTTAAATTCTTATTTATGAGATGGGTTTTTTTGTTTTTGTTGAATTTTTCAAGTGTATCCAAGGGTGAAAGTGAGAAAACAAGTGGAAGAAGATGATCAATATGCTTATGAGAAAATTTCTTTGCAGTCCGTGAAGGCCTTTGAATGGCTTTCTTTGAATGATTTCTCTTCTTCAGGTACATATTTCTTCCCATCTCTCTCTCTCTCTCTCTCTCTCTTTTTTTCTTTTTCTTTTGAATATTCTTATTATTTTGATTTACATGATGTTCTTCTATTTGCAATTTTGTTTTGGATATGCAATTTTTCGATGCTTGGGCAAATTTGTAGCCATACTTACCCGACCATGACAAGATTTGATTTTATCTTTACTTCAATACTCTGATCAGTCTGATTAATTGTTGTTAATGAGTAGACATGTGGATATTAATTTTACATTGTGTGGTATAGAATGAGTAATCTGATACCATGGAAGCTTTATTTATTTATTTATTTTCTGCACTCTGTTTCTATGAAATTGTAATCCTTCATAACTGCTCAGGCAAGAAAGCTATTTCCCTAATACAAATTAGGCTCTGTTTGGGAAGAAGAATGTATAAAGGCATTTAATTTATAAATTTTGATAAAAATTAGTGGTGGATAAATGGATAGGTCCAGTGTAATGGGTAGTTGAAAATGTAGTTTGATTATTTACAAATGATTTATAAATTTTGCCAAACAGAGGCTTGGCAATAATTATTATAGTTATAATATCAGTCTCGCCAACACCTCTATAGGAATTGTCATACGGATGAAGATACTTTTTTACAATAGGAAATTGCGTGAAGATATGTTATCTACACTGAATAAGCTTGAAATCTATAAGCCCCTGTTTGACTTAGATAAAAATAGATTTTTGAAAGATGTTTAAAAGATTTTGATAAATTTGATAAAAGTAGTGGTCCCGTGAAATGCATGGTTGGAAATGAATTTGGGGAAAAATAAGTTTTAAAAAATGGTGACCAAACAAGGGCTAAATCTATATCCATTTATATCGCCCTTGTGATGTGCTTGATGATTACGTCAACAGTATGATGGCTTGTAGTTCTTGTTGAATATGCCCTCTGTTTTTTTGGCATATAATTTACTCGGCAAAAGAGCCTCTACAGATATATAGAATCAAAAGAAATAAATAGAAGAAATCTTGCTAAAAACAATTCCAGTTTATATATTCTCCCCTTGCTATGTTATGTTGAACAACCAAAACCATAAATGAGTTATATGTGCATCATTAGACCAGGTAAAATAAATTGCGCAGATGAATATACTAGCTGTTGGTATAATACTCTTTTGCTCTCTAGAATTTCAAATGCCATAGCCTGGAATGTTGATTTCTTTGCCATTTAATCTTTATTAATACATAAAGTGATTCCACTTTTTGGATGTGTAGATGAGTCCCCGCCATCAATTGTAAGAGTTCGCGGTTCTAATGTCCCAAAATCACCCATATCTACCTGTACTGGATCCAAAGGTTTGTTGTTTACTGGTTCTATTTCCTATCAAAATACCGAAAGAATCTATGCTGAACTAATTGCTACTCTGTTGAGCAGGAGAAGAAAATAACAAGACGAAGACTGTTTCAGCTGAGAACCGGAAAAATGTAAGAGCTAGTTCAGTCCCACGTCCACGTGCTGTCTTATCTAGCCCAGGTACCTCCATAACTTCATGGTGTGTGCGAGCGTGCTTAGATTTTGTTTGTATAATATATTTTCTGCTTAGTGATTGTTAAAAAACATGATTTCTATAACGTGATATGCCTGTTTTATTACTGAGAAGTCTTTAGAGCTGATGGTACTTTTACATGCAATTTCTTTAGTCTGATCTACGTACGCTGAGTTATGATGTTTAGGTCACTACATGTTTTCAGTGTTACCTTTTCCAGTATCAAAACTTGTATCCTACACAGATATAAGTAACCTGCCAATGCGAGACGTAACCATGAGGACTCCTCTTGATATGCTAGTATTTGCATTCTTTGTCTGGGTTTTAGGCTGACCAACTCACCAGGTATACAAAGTAATATTTGAAAATGAACATGAGCAGTTTAAGGAGTTGTTTAATGGTTAAAATGACATTTTAACCATTCTCGAGGTCCTTGCATTTTGGGACTTCAAGACGTTTTCATTTTTAAACATTTATCGTACTAGATTCTTGTACTATTTCTGAAAAAATTAGGGTGCCCAGTGGTTCAGTAGTACAGTAGAAGAAAAAGCCTTTTGATGGTTGATGATATAATAAATATGGACGATCTGGCAATTACGTTTATGTTTCACAGTATTCTCTCCCTGTAAACGAGTTCTAGAGTTTGATAAAGAGATTTTTCGGAGAAAGGTTTTATTTATGGGAGAAACATGGAGAAAAGCCTTATCAAATGGTAATGAATCATTATGATTCACTAGATTGTGAAAAATTATTTCATATTGGATGATGCTACTATTTGGTATTCAATGGCATTCTTTCTCAAGCAGACTTTCTTTGCTGTCCTATCGTGTAGATAACTGCTGAAGAAGCTCACATTTAAAATTCCAAGTTATGGAACTTCGAAGTCTCTGTATCATTTGTTAGAACTTGCAAAGTGGTTATCTGAGACAACTTCTAATACCTTCGTAATTCTGCTCTATAGAATTATTTTTTATTTCCTTCAACCACTGTTAATTTATTTTTTGTGTGTCATTTCCCATTGCTTAAATTACTTATTCTATCTTGAGAAATTGTTTTCCTTTCTCTATTTTGCTCTAGATAATGATGGGATCATTGGAAGCAAAACAAAGACTAGAAGAGAACTACATCCAAGTACAAAAAGTCATAATACATGTCAAAATAGACATACACAGCATAAGGTTTTTCCAAGATCTACAGCTGCCGAAAGTTTTGGAAGCACGCTAGTAAACAACAAGGAAGCATCCGAAAGAAAAAATGATCCTCCTGCAAAAGGAAGAGCTGTTCCACCTGATTCAAGCCTGAGATCAGGGCCTTTGAGAAGGAAACCCCAGTATCCAGTTAAAATGAAGCTGATAAGTTGACTTGAAATGACTATTTTACATCTTACTAGAACTCAAAGATTTCGAGAGAATGAATTTTTTGAGCAAAAGGACAGCAACAGCTGATCTGAGTCGGACACCAGAGTTTGGGAATGGAAACTCTGACTCCATCTGAAGTGAAATAATTCAGTAAAAAGAGAGCAGACATTTTCTTGCATAATCCATCGTAGTATCTTTTCGCTTAGATGAAATGTGAGCTTTGTGCATGGAACTTGAGTTAAAGGTCTTCACAGAAACATGTTATGTGACCCGTCTTTGAAATAATTTAACGGCATGATGTTCCGTGCATATGAATTTTTGAGTAAGAACTCTTTGGTATCGAGTATTAGTTAGAACATAAATTTTTGCAATGTATAGTGGAAACTCGAGAGCAACCACCACATCTGGATTTAATCTATTTAGTCGGCAATTCATCAGGTGATTTCACGATCACCAAAGAAGCCCCAGTCTGGACTGGCTTTCCTCTTCAGAGGGAATTTGTTCTTGGATCGTGTCCTATTAGTCACACTCTTACACAGGTTCTGTAGGGAATTTACTTAAAATACACAGCGGAAATAAAACAATTTTCAATTCCCAAACGAAAATCTGCAATGTGTNACAATTTTCAATTCCCAAACGAAAATCTGCAATGTGTTTAGATAGAAACTGTGATGAGAATGATACATTTGATGAATTCTGCAAAACCCTTTGCTGATTCACGAACTCCAATGATCACGATCTGCAATCCAAACTGTCCAATTGTCCAGCTTCCAATGATGATCCACGCAGAGAACAAGAATGGTGGCTAGGGTTTCTTTTCTTGTGCTAGCAAGAATAATAAAAATCCATTCTGTTTTCAAACCCTAGTAGTCTATTAATATAAGTCCAGATGGGATCGGCCCATCTATTAAACTTAACCCGATCCAATATTTAATTAATCAAATTAATTAAATCTGGTCTATGAATTAATTAATCCAATTAATTAATTCGAGCCTATTAATAAGCAATCCAATTAATTAATTATCCAACACTTGTCCATTAATTAATTGGTAAATCTCATTCTTCTGATTCTCTTTTGTGTGTGACCCATTAG